CGGCACGACAAGGTGACTCGCTGGGTCTCCGCGGCAATGCTCGTACTGGGGGCTGAGACGCAGAGGCGACTGCAGAAAAAAGTACTCAATAGGCAACGGCGTGGCAACTGGCATGCTGTGGGCAACCCAATAAAGAACACCAGGATCGGGTGATCGGCTGCGAGCGCTGCCGCCCGCAGATGCTACTGGACTGTGGTCGATTGTGGCACAGGGTTCGACGACCATGCTGTCTGACATGGCGGCACAGTCTTGGATCGTATCTGTGGGGTCTAGGTCTGAAGAATGGGTCGTGGCATCGTTTGCATCTTGGAACATTCTCATATCTTCCTCTTGCGGCATGGGCGTCAAGTATCGCTCTTCGTCCGGGTCAACGGCTGTCTCGTCGTCGCTCACTCCGCCACCTCCCTCGTCGTCACTGGCTTTCTCGCACCCTTCACCACAGTCATAGCCACAGTTCCTCCATTTGAAATGAGGTGGTCTATCAGACGATGGGCTATCCAGAGCCGGCTGGTGGGAGGGGTTGTTCGGATCATCGTGGTCGTACATCGTGGCGATAGTAAGAAGACCAAGCAGTCTTTCCTGAAGGCATGTTAGTCCATCTGGTGTAGTATCGGCTCAAGTACCCAGTACCATCGTTGCCAAAGGCGAGGACGTAGCTGAAGTCGAGTTGTTGCATACATATAGAGAAGCAGCGCATCTTACCTCGACAGCTCTACGAGAAGGAACAGGGACAGCAAGCAACGGAAGACAACTCTGTTTGTCACAGGACAATAGTCGTTTTGGCAAAGGTAATGGTATACACGCTAATAACACAGATCAAGACACTTCTAAACCAACAAACGCTGAAGAAGGGATCGGAAAGAACGACTACCGCACATCCTCCAAAGTCTTTATGCACAAAACCTACGAGCGATCATCGGCCAGCCAGAATATACGACAGAACAAAAGGGAGTCATAACCGCCTCCGCGACAGACACGTTGCTTGACCCCAAGCCTGAGTCGGTCACCCACCTGGCTCCAACAACCCATCACTGGACCCCCTTCCCCGCATTTATTCCAACCGAGATCACACCAGTACTCTGAAGGACCAATATCCTCCGCTCATCTATTACCGTATTCCGACACCGGCCAGCGTGCTCATAACCTGGGGTAGTCGAGAGTACCCTCGAGTAACCACGCGACGGAAGGATAGCATAGGATACCGTCAAAGACAAGCTGGGTAAAACCCGAAGGTAGCCGGCATGTAGATGGTTCTGCCTGATGACGGCATGGGGACTTTGTTTTGGGGAGAACGCGTCGCGTGTGCGTGTCCGAGATGGGCTCACCGGAGGCCGCCTACATGGGCGTTGGAAGTGGGGTAAAAAGCCACCGGTCAACACCGAGAGCGATTGTAGACCAAGGAGTTAGGTATGACTCTGATGAGATTGGTCGCTTTGTTTTGGCATGGTGCGGACCTATGTCACTGTGTATGACGGATATTTGGGGTCGCGTTAAGCAATGTTGCCGCTTTTAACCTCGTCGGTCGGTCGATTTTGTTACTGGTGGATGGATTTAGAAAGGAGATATCATTGTCTCATGATTCTTTGGATATTTCCTGATATCTCTCTTGTATCATGGTCATGGTGTAGCGCGCCAATGTATATGCATCTAAATTGCCTTCCATTCGCCTCCGCATGCCGGGTCCTCGATCCGAACACGACGTCTTCTCCTGTCACTCGATGCCCTTTCTCTCCACTTTGCTCATTTGTTATGCCAGAGCAACGTTCGTAAGGAATTCCAGTCGTCCGACTGAACGTAACTGTCCACACGTTAGCATAATCCCATATTCTTTGAGCTTCAAGGGTTACCCACATGTAACTCATACTGCTCCTCAAACTGCTCTGCACAGCCTCAGGATGCCACCTGAAAATATACATAACCATCGCCCAACTCAGACTGGCAAAAACCGGCCACCCATTCTTCGCCATCGTTCTCCTCATCTCGCCATTACCGAACAGTTCCCACCCGCCACCACCTCCCTGAACTCCTTGTCCACTAGCTCCACCTCCAACCTGTCGGGGTTGTACTGCCAGCTTTGCCAGCGCTAACAATACGCGTGCAGCTACGTATATGACGATTTGCTGAGACACGGAATTGTGAATTGTGCGACCAAAGACGGTGTAGCCGCCTAGAAGACCGGCGAGGAAGGAATCGTAGTGTCGCTCTTTGCCGGTCGGGGACGCGTGTCGGAGGAAGATCATGCAGGATTTGTAGACGAGGGCGAAGAGGCCGAGGTTACGGGCGTGTTGGCGGGTCGCTTTGTAGACGAGCAAGGCTTTCGACCGGAAGCTGTTTGAATTTTGTCAGCACGAATATTCTCTAGTCACGGAGTAGAGAAGAGGTTTGGCAGGGAGTGTGCTACATACCTTCCAGATCTGAAGAGGAAGATCATTCTGTAACCACGCGTCAGCTATCCATCTCTCCATAAACGCACAGTACTGTAAAAACCTACACCAGCGCATGCGGAAAGCGCACTTTACTTCCGTATACGATGCCATTCCTTACACCTTTTACCAGTGTGAGGATATCGTGGTACTTTGGATCTAGCACAATCCTGTCGAGTGCCGCCTGATCAAACCGTCAGCTCGCGTTTGAAAAGATGCGACACCCTAATTTCCTGCAACATACCTCAAGGGCATGTAATCTGTCCATGTCGATTGTATGTGTGTGTGTTATGGCCTGGGTGTTGTGTTCTGTCGTTGCTGGCTTGCGTCCGGCGAAGAAGAGCCTCGGTCCAGCGCGCGCGCGTTGCGATGACGTTTGCCGCTACTTTTTACGGTCGCGAGAACTCTAGAGGAGAAAATCGAAGGAGTGAAGAGAAGAATGGAAGTACAATGTACGTATCATGAGGCTGGCATGGGAACGAGAGCGAGGTTTGCGGTCGGGTATAGATAGCGCAGAGTCGCAGTCGCGGAATGGCTGCTGGCATCTGATCCTCGGCTCGCGTCACATTGCCGGTCGCTGCTTCCCCACATCCGTGGATTGGTGCGCTAAGAGAAGGAAAGGACAGGGGTGTTTGCGCTTTGACATGTGAAGGTAGAATAATCTGGGAAAAGTTGCATGTGCATGCGTTCTATGATCTAAGACTGCTGCTTCTTTTCTATGCGCTCAATGTAACAATACATGGTATCTCGACGCTCCCGCCTGATGCTATACAAACGCCCCCAAACACCATGATATGCTGCTCGACGAATTCCGCGCATCCAGCGCGAAATCCCGTGACGGTCCTAGTCTACCCGTCGAGTAGGCCATCGCTTCTTCAACTCTTCATATACTGTGAATATGAACGCAGAACTGGGTATGGATCTCGCCACTGTGATGCCGCATCCACGGTACATGCCTTTGATACCGTGTTGCTTCCAAACCGCCTTTCCTACAGCGCTGAATGTTGACTTTCCACCAGTCAATTGCTTGACATCTTCCGTCTGCATTCTCGACTTGATCGTGTCCGCAGGGTAGAACATGAAGTTGTAGGCTCCACCTGCGACAGAACCAGAGGCCATGCGCTGCCAGACGGGAATATCTTCGTCCTTGGCTGAAGTACTGGAGCCTTTGAACAGGATCTTCATGCCTTCATAGCCACCGAACCACGCTGCACCGCCTCCTGTCTCGCGAATCAAGGTTCCAAACTGTCCGTGCCAGTAGCCCTTGAGGCCCTGGTGACGATAGATAGAAGCAATGACTCCTCTGATAGTGGGTGCGGCTACGACGCTGCCTTTCGTTTCTAGGGGAACTTGCATCTTGCATTTGACGAGTTCGATTGGTGTTAGGAAGAGTGACGTGATAGCGCCTGCGACCATTCCGCAAAGGAGCATGCCGGAATAAGGTAGGTCTCGCTCCGGGTGTCTCTTTAATTCAGGATAAAATCCGGAGGACTTGAGTGCATCGCCAGCCAGACGATACTGCAGACCACGTCAGTTTGATCCCCTTCGTCATTTGCATACTACTCACACTAAAGAATAATGTGCTTGTCTCTACGGCAGCGCCTACCAGAGGCGCACTGATGCCCCGGTATATTCCAAGGAAGCCATCCTGCTGTAAAGACTTCTTGAAGCAGTCCAGTGGCCCAGTGTAGCGGAGTGGCACCTGGTCGGGCTGTGACTGTAGCCGAACCTTGACCGTGTCGAAGGGGTACTCGATGTACTTTCCGACAATTCCAGCTGCGGATCCACAGAGAACATCCTTCAAGGCCTCTTCGCCCTTGCCTATGGTATGTGCTGCAGCAGGACTCCGGACCTCTTCCATTATAACTGGGTTGGGCAGCCGGCCTCTTCCCCCCACCACCGACACCGGACTCTCTTGTGCTTCCATGAATGAGGAATGTGTATGGCTCGTCAATGGATATGTGTAAATGGATTGAATGTATGTTTATGAAGCCGAGCGCATGTTGCGTGCGAAGAGTCGTGGGCGGTGAGAGGGCGCGTGGCTACTGTTATGAATCGGAGCCCATGTCAATAATGGGGTACACCGGTCGCGTTTGCGTTATGGCGAGTGGAGGAAGGTTCGGAAGTGTGTAACACGACGAAGAGAGTTTGCTCGAGGGAGCATGCAGCGGGCCGTGTGTGCGACGGGGATGGAGAAGATGATAACGCCCAACGTTGTACCAAACAGGGCTGACCTTTGTTTAGCTAGCCTAGGAAAATTCTGCAGTATCGGAAGAAAGTATTACAGGAGTGGAAAGCGCACAGCGCCTGCTAAGCCAGACCGTCTGCATGCGCGAATAAAGTATGAGCGCAACGAGCAATTGGGAGCGCGCTCCGGCCGCACTTCTGCAGATGCAGCTTATCAGATCAATTCGATCTGATAACATCTGAGTTGGGCGGGATTTGGGGATCCCTGGCTGGCAGCCCGCGCCGGCAAAGTGCGCTAGTTATCGATAATCGGCATTAACTTTTCTCGCGCCGCCGTGTTCTGGGTTCGAGAACTTCTGCGAGATCCACTGGTCGCGCAACACCGCAACCATGTCTGAATCTGTGATAATCGAGGCGCCTCCTGCGACGGAAACTGCCCCTGTCAAGGGCATGAAGAAGAACGGTATGCGACCGCTGTGCGTGGTAGTTGCGACATGGCGATCTAACTTTCCCCAGGCAAGCAATGGCACGACAACAAGGGCCCCTTCCGACCAAAGGCTGGCCAGACCTCATGGGAGAAGCGCAGTGAGGAGAGGAAAGCGCTCGCTGCTGTCAAGGCGAAGGAGAAGGAGCTGAAGGACGAGAAGGAGTCTGAGAGACAGGTAGGAAACCGCGGCTTTTGGTTACAAACAGACAGGAGCTGACCGTGCAATAGCGTCGAGTTGAAGCCATCAAGACCAAGCGCGCCGCCAAAGCAGAACGAGAACGATTTGCCCAGATGGAGGAGAAGATGCACAAGAAGCGCGTCGAGCGCCTGAAGAGGAGGGAGAAGCGCAACAAGATGCTGAAGTCATGAGCTCGGGTCGGTTAGACTAGAGCCGAAGCATAAAATATGCGGTCAAGGAAATGCCGCTTCGGGAGGATGTTGAAAAGGTGCAGAGGCAGGCGCGACTGCACGCCCTAGAAACCACCGGGAAAGCAAGAGCGACCGGCAACAGTCCAGAGAAGTCCAGTCTGTAGGGCGGGATGCAAGCAATGATACCCTATCGAGACTTCCACAGTGGAAGACGCAGCAAAAAGCAATCATTAGAATCCTGTACATGATCCAAGACTTTGAAATCACTACTGAGAATACCATGCCCACAGACGTGGAATTGCGTGCACAAGCAATTCGAGTTCAATATCTGCAAAGCCACAATCATCATCACTGTCTAGGCTGTTTCATGACTCTCTTCACATGCGCTTCCCCAGCTGGCTAGCGGAAGGAGACCCCTGCAATTACACGCGAAACTCGGAAGTCGATCTTGGAACCCAGCACCGACAACTGCCTCGTTGCGCCGACCCAACCACCACCATGACATGGACGGACAGCTTCACCTCCATGCCGGCCTGGCCGACCCCAGGTCTTTCCGTCCCAACCTCTACAGCTCCCGTTCGGCGACGCGCGTGACGACTGACCCCGAGAAGAAGTCGCATTCCCACCTGCACAAGCACAAGTCGTCGCGACACCACCACGACCGTCACGATGACCGGCACCGCCACAGCTCCAGCCGACGCCATGCTGCCAAAGAGGCGATGCAGTCAGCCATCCAGATACAGCCGCCCACCAGCTTCGGAGACTTGCTGAGGCAGGCGCGAGGGAGCAGAGACACGAGCCCCAGTCACAGTCGCAGGGAGAGCGTCGCACCAGGGCAGGCGGATGGCAGCGTGCATGGGAAGGAGGAAAGCACTCCAGGCATCACCATCCCGCCGCGGAGACCAATCCGGCAGGCGGATGTGGAGCTAGAGGCTAAGAGAGTTGAGGCTAGAGAACGGTGCGTCTGCGTCATTCACTACCAACCCCATGATGCTCCGTAGCGTTCCCCCAAGATGCCTTCTCTAACATGGCCCGCAGAGACCTTCGTGCGGTTCTCCAGACCCTTTCCGACCAGTCCCTCAAGACGTCGCGCCGTCTAGACGACACCTACTATTCCATCCTCGAGAAGGTCTCCGTACTGCGCCAGACCATCGGAACGCTGCAAGAGCTCTCTGGCCTGACCAAAGAGCTCCACGAAAACTTCGAGTCGGACACGACAGAGTTGCTGGAGGATGTGACGGGCCAAGTGGAAGCCTTCGATGGCTTCAAAACACAACAGGAGCAAGTGAGCGGGTTAGAAGAGCGCATCAAGGCGGGCAAAGAGAAAGCCGATGCACTGACGGCGAGGCTCGAACGAGCCAAAGAGCGTGTCGATGCGAGGGCCAAATCGGAAGCGCAGTGGCAGGCGAAGAACACCCGTATGGTTATCCTTATAACCTTCTTTTGTTTCCGTCCCAACTGACATCACACAGATCGCGTGCGCATATTCTGGGCTATAGTGGGCTTTGTAGCTGCACTCATACTAGCTCTCGTTTTCTTCCGCCCGTCGCAACCGATAGACAACTTACACGAACCGAAGAATACACTCGATCCTGCGACCAGGGAGGCAATTCTGAATGCCGACATTCCAGACATAGCAAAAGAGGCAATTATAGGGCCGTCGTCTAGTACTGCAGGTCCAAAAGTGGAGACCTCCGAAGCGCAGCCTGTACTGGATGACGATGAGCGACTGCGCGCATTCGACGAGCTGTAATACTTCGAGCTACTTTCCTGCCTATTTTGCTTTCGAACACCATGATACCCCTGCAATAGTTTGGCCACGTTAAAGGTCAATCACGAAATAACAAGTCCTTGCGATGCTACCGTCTACACATGATCTATTCCTGTTCTTCAGTACAGCATGCGTTGTCAATCCTGAACGCCTTGCCGTACCACAGCCAATGACCAGAATTTGTACCACAGCCCGGCCGCTTTTGGCCCCTACACAGCCTAAGCCACCCAAGCCATCCAAGCCAGCCAGTCGGCGACCTCATCTGGTATAAATCATACTCAGCCCCGTTACTTTACCCAGATTTTGATACCGTAGGCTACCACTGTTCTTCTGTATTATGCAGCATGGCTACATCGCGCTCTGTCTCGATGCATTCGCTCGAGCTTAGCCAAGAGTATTTTCCGACGGCCACCACTCCAACCAGATTAGACCCATTTACAAGCAGTGTCAGGCAGAATCGCTTACATGGTAACCCGGATCACGGCCCCGCCACTCACACCGAAAGACTGCTCGGCAACAGCCCCGCGTGGGGCTCAGAGGACCACGATTTCATAGCTCTAAAGGAGCGGACCATTGTTCAACAGCATTACGACCCGCCTAAGCGTTCCGGAGGCTTGCACTTCACAGACTGGCGATGGGAGATTGCATCTGCAGTCCTCAGTCTCCTATGCGTTGTCGCCATGTTAATCGTATTGAAAGTCTACCAGGAGAGACCCTTGTCCAGTTGGCATTTTGTTCACGACGTCACGCTGAATACGCTTGTCGCTCTTCTTTCAACTATATCACGGACGGCCCTGATAGTATCAGTTGCATCATGCCTCAGTCAGCTTAAATGGATTCATCTTGTCAGATCACCGCGTCCACTCCAGGAGATGCAAATCTTCGATGACGCCAGCCGCGGCCCTTGGGGCTCTCTGGAACTTGTATGTAGGATGCACTTCAAGACCAAGTTGGCAACCTGGGGCTCTCTGATAACGATACTATCCCTCGCTATGGGCCCTTTGTCGCAGCAGTTGCTTTCTTACCCTTCGAGACTGCATTTTGAAACCTCCGGTGCAAGTTTCTACCGGAATCAAGTTTACGATTCAGGTGCTTCCAGAGGCTCCACCAGAGGAACTATAGGTAAGCTTCTGAGCTTGGTTTATTAGAGGTCGTTTTCAGGCTTACAAAGCGAACAGAAAATATGATGGACCCCAAGATACAAGGCGCTATCCTAAATGGGCTATACAACCTCAGTGCACCAGTACAAGTAGAATGTCAAACTGGAAACTGCCAATGGGATGACTTTACAACCCTGGCAGTGGCTAGCAATTGTACAAATGTCACATCCGTCTCTCACATCGTCTGCCATACGGGACAAGGAACTTTAGCATGCAACTATACAACTCCCACTGGCTTCTTCATCGAATCGTCTCAGAGTGGTAGCTCAAGAGGCCCAAGGGGAACCTGGTTCAACAGTACCGCTCGTATGCACTCGAGTATGACCATGGATGGCGCTGCATTCAACAGCTCCATAATCAGCTTCGCAACAGCCAACATGACAGGGCAGTATAGCACGGAAGCCCCCGATATCACAGAGTGCAACATGCGTTGGGTCGGTCGGCATGTCCGCAACATGACCGTCGTGAATGGTACCTTCAACCCCGGTATCATTCAAGACCATGAGCTATCCGGTATCTCCAAGTCATACGAAGAAGAGATACAATGGGCCTCTTTCAACCTTTCAGATGAGACTACAACGCTCACCGGTAACACGACTTTCAGCATCAACGCAGGCGACAACGGAGGTATCAGGGCATTTCTCTCCGACATATTCTCCTCTTCGCTACACGACACATACGGTCTCGCTTTATACAAATCCACAAACCTTACGCAAACTGTGGAGGCTATCAGCACTTCCATGACGTACGCTTTCAATACGGGAATCAGCAGCATCAAACTCTCTGGTAGAACAATCACGACGGAGCAATACATAAAAGTCCACTGGGCCTGGATAAGCGTACCAGTTGTTGAAGTCATCATGGGCATTGCGTTCTTCGTAGCTACGCTCGTACATACATGGAGGAGGGGCGTAGTGGCCTGGAAGAGCTCCGCCATCGTACCGTTGTTCACGCACATTGAAGGATGGCATCCTGAAGAAAGTCGAATGGGCAGCGCAAGAGAGGTAGAGAAGAGAGCTAGGGAGATGAGAGGACTGCTAGAGAAGGATGAAGACGGTGGTCAGAGGTTCAGACGCATGGATGCATGAGCTATCCTAGGAGCCACAAGATGTACGACCATGACAATACGACACCGACGCCGATGAAACCCCCCAACTCCGCACCTGACGATACACTGCGTGTTGCGATTCCTGCGATGACCGCTACGACTGTCGCAATGGCAAAGGATAGAGCTAGTGGCCACACTAAATACCTCTTGTCGACGACATGGCCGATGCACAGGACTTTTCGCTTTAGTGATACCTCTGTGTTCTCCACATCGAACGACTCCGTTTCGTGGAACATTCTCCCACTATCACGTAGTAGCCCCGGTCGCAGCAAAGCAGCCGATAGCGCATGTGACGTCTCAATGTCTTCGAAGTGCACCTCCAAAGGGAAATTGCATCTTTGGGCGTTTGCCTAGATCGAATCAGCATACAGCAGTTTTCAACATGTTTTATGGCATGGACCTACGGCTGTGATCTCGCACACCTGGATGACGGGTCTTTGGCACCACAGCCAGCGCAACATCGCTCGCTCCATCGTACTGAAGCGTATCTTGTAGAACTCGATGAGACGAATTACCTGCTGTTCCGTATTGGGCGCTTTGGTCTGCTTTTCGAGGTAGTTGCGGCCGCGTTTGGTGTATCCGATCCAGATCTCGAGCTCTTGGTTGGGCACAGGCGTTGTCATGACTTGCTCGACTGGGTTGGTGATGGCAGACATTCTCATTGAGCTGAAGCAGGTTGAGGTGATGAGACTCCATTCTTATTATTCACACGCCCTACATCATATATGATGGGCTGTTGTACGCGGAGTATCTCAGCAATGCTCTACTGCGCCTCGGACAAAGTGTTTACAACCCTGATCATCTTCATCAAGATGCCTTTTGATGCCTACAATTCATCAATTCTCTGACCCTTTGATACAACGACCGTAGAATCAGTATTCAAGGTCAAAAACAATGAAACAATTTGTTTGCATACAGATTTGTGACGGCGTTATGGAGATAGGGCAAGCCACTTCTTGGCTGCATGGGTGGCGTTCAAGTACTTCGGATTTGGGGGCCAAACAATTTGTTCGCGTTGCTGGCAATTCGTGGCGACGCGTCCAGACTCATCAACACGGCGGGTGCCATCTGCTGCCTACCCATACCTGTCGCACTGCGCCCGCTCACTGTGTTATCATATTCCAACCTCCTACGTCCCGTATCTCACTCGCAATTCTCTTTCGACAGCTATGGCAGCTATGAGATCTTATCTAGCGTCTTCCAAAGTCAGCAGGCCACCTACACACCGCAACGATGTACAGGCACGATATGAATCACAACCCCCTCGATCACCTTTGCAGTCGGTTCAATGCGACACTTTTGATGATTTCATGCCCTGGCCTCCCGATGACGTAGATCTATTACTTCCTCCAAGCCTCCTGTGGGGAGACGGCGACAGTGGATACAGTGGGTCTCCCGAGGTTGAAGAGGAGAGAAGGTCACAACTTCTCCTGTCATCAAAGATCGATGCGAACACGCCAGAATCTCTGGCTCAAAACATTTTGGCCCATGCCTTGTTAGGGCTGCGCAGACCTGTGGAAGACATGAGGAGTGATCGACTCCACGTCAATAAACAAGAGCCTCCAAAGTACACAAATACCATCACGCCATGCCAGGAAGCCTCTACTTTACAATCTTCCTTGTCTCGGTATAATCGCCCTGAGAATGTCAATGCCAGTTCAGCTGGGCATCCACGGAAGGCCTCGTTCAAGGCTTCCTCTGGAAGGGAGCGATCTCAGGGGGATCCCCGGATAGATCAGACAAGAAATGCGTCAATCAAGGGGAAAAGCTCGGAAGCCTTGATCGACGGTACTGTACCAGCAAGAGAAGGTCTAATTCAAGATACCACTCCGAATGACATGATAAAACAGCCGAGCACTACTCTTCGTAATCAATCCGATGAGGGCTCGGATACTCACGATACCGGAAAAGTCGGAGTCCTCCAATGGGTCGACGCAACCAGAAATGCAAGCTCCTTCTCGTCTTTGACTCCTCCAGTGATTCCACGTGCAGGCACTAGTAATAGAAGCTCCCCAGCTGCTCCTGTGCAGGCTTTGAGTCCAAGAGCAAGTCCAGCATCATCTTCGAGGGCGCTGGTCCTCGAATTCTGGAGCATGCTACAAGATAGAGACCAAGACTACGACGCGTACGAGTCATCGCCGGCAGACGAAAGCATAGAGTGGTTTACTGACGACATACACTCGTTGCGAACATCAACGAACGGATCTGGCTCAAACGGATCCCCAAATAGCTCTGCGACATCGAACAGCACTCCAATCGGAGTAATCAGCAAGACCGCGCTGTCAACTAACAAAAGAGGCCTAGAAGAAGAAGGTGATGAGAACGGATGCCCCAACAAGAGGCCAACCCGGGAGCAAGGCGTTTCTGTTCCAGATGCAATTCAGGATTCCAGTTATCCCGGTCAGATGTCCTGTCCAATGCTTGAATTGCATGACTGTCAAGGAACGAACACGACAATATCAGAGCTGATGCGAAGTCTCATGAACCGTCATCGCATAGTCATATGCAAGGAATGCTGTACACGATTACACATACCAGACGAGGAGAAAAGGCCAGTGACTATACTGCAAAAGCATGCATCGGATGGCTGTGAGCGGTACTGCATCAGTAATATTTGCGCCAACAGTGCCGCCGACCCTACGGTTCTTCACCGTCGGACGGAAAGATGTCCTTCCTGGGCGACGCTTACCAAGGAAGCGAGATGGACGTTCATA